AGTGCAGCCACTCAGCAACTCAAGATGAAAGCCAGGGAGTCACCTGGGACCCCTGCCTATTCTCCTTTATGTCCCTCACCCAGCCATCCCTCAGGGGCTCCTTCCTCCTAACATATTCCAAGATCCCTGGGCCACCACGTCCCTAGAGCTGTTGTCCCAGCACGGGGCACAGTCATTCCCACAGCATCTGCAGCAGCTCCCTAGATGGGCTTCTGCCTCTAGTCCTCCCCTCTGCTTTTCTCCTCCATGTGGTCAGAGGGACCAGCCTAAACTGCCAATGGCCTGCAAAGCCCTAGTGGCTCCCATTGCCACCAGGACGGTGCCAAACTCCTCAGCATGGCTTGCCAGGCCCGGCCACCCAGAGGGCCTTCATCCCTCTACCTTCTACGCCTGCTATACTGACCACCACACACCCTCTCCACCTCCATAGCAGGGTTTCTCAAATTCGGTGCCACTGACACTTAGGGTCAGACAATTCTTTGTTATGGGGCTGCCCTGTATGTTATAACGCGTCCAACAGCATCCCTGGCCCCATTAGATGCACGTAGCACATCCTCCCACTGTGCCAGTAAAAGCGATCTCCGGACACTGCCAACGGTCTCCTGGGAGGCAAAACAGCCCCAGATGAGAACCACTGCTCTATACCCATGAAAGGCCGTTCCTTTCATTCATTTCTGGACGCTGCCGCCTCCTTCACCACCGCCTCCTCCTCCTCCTCCTATTAAAATCTGATTCAGCTGCATCACCTCCCAGAAGCCTCCCTAACTCACTCAGGCTAGTGCAGGGGCAGCATCTCAGGACGCCTCCCTGCTTCCCTTTGCACAGTTCTACCACTGCTCCTGTCACACTGCAGCTGACTGATCCACTGATGTGCTGTCACCGTCCTCTGCAAGGCGAGCTCCTCAGGACCACCCCCACCCTGCCCTGGGCATGGAAGCACTGACCGTGTGTGCCTGCAGAAGTACAACAGGGCAGCGTGCTCAGGGACCACCCAGGTAGTGTGGTAGCTTCTGATCAGAGGCAGGGGGCTGTGTGCAGCCAAGGTGTCAGGCTGAGGGACACGGAAGGGAGAGAAAAAACAGAGCAGGGGTCTAGGTGAAGGGCCTTGCAGGAACAGCCAGAACAAAGGCCGAGCTGTGGTCAGCAAGATGAGACTGGGAATGACATGGCCGGAGCCCAGTGTGGGGCCTGTGGGAGAGGTATCTGGAGAAAGGATTTTGAAGCACAAGGAAACCAGGTCATGAAGACCTTTGGATATTTTCTGTAGCCACAGATGTATTCAGCGGGATGTAAAACTGGGGGGGCGGGGGGGAGGTTTTATGGTCAAATAAGTTTGGAAAATGCCTTGTCTGTAATCAAACAGGTTTCTTTACTGCAGGACTTCTCAATCCCTTCGATAGGCTCACATGCCAGGCGAATCTTTACAAGGGGAAGGTACAGCAGGTAGTGTCACCTAAATGTAACTGACTACAGAGCCTCTCAAATGATCCGTGTCCTTCGGCCTACCCTTTGGAAACGCTGCTTGGAGCTGAGAAACCGGGGCTATGAGCTGAAGAAGGACTCAAGGTAACGACAGTCTGGGTTTGGGGCCAGTGGCTCTGGAAGTTCTTCAAAGACCTGAGGGCCAGTGCTGGGGCCTCAGCCACTAGCTCAACCCCTCTCCCAGTGCCTGGCTCCCCAGCCCCTGGGGCATCTGCTGCCCTGAGAAGTGAAAACAGCTCCCGAGTGACTGCCTACAGGAAGGACTGGGAGGCAGTGCGAAATTTATTGTAGGAAAACAGTCGCCCCACGGGACTGCTTCGACCACCTCCCCCAGGCCCCTGGGCCACAACATATGGTGTGGTTTAAATTTTTAAAATTGAGGAGTACTTAAGGAAAAAATGTTGGCAGGCTCTGAGGCACTTGTAAAACCGTTTGAGCTGGATGAGGAGTCTGGGCCCCATCCTTCTAGGAGATGGAGGCAGCGCTGAGCAGGGGCAGGGAGGTCCAGAGAACAGGATGGGGTCTGCCAGCAGAGGCTTCTGGATGAGACAGGCCAGGTGGGGAGAGAGTGGAGCAGCCCCCTGCCGCAGCCTGTGGACGGGCTGAAGGAGCCAGCAGGGCTGGACAAGGGACCCACTTCATCCTCAGGGTAGATCACAGCTGGGGCAGGGGCAGCAAAGGGCAGTGAGGGGCCAGGTGTGGGAAAACAGGGCACCACAGGCTCAAGTCCCGGCTGCATGACCTGGGACAGCGACACCCAGGTCGTCGTCTGGTGCCTCCCCGTACTCATCCCTAAGCTGGAGCCAGTGCAATCCCCTCACATGGTAGCATTAAGGTCCAGGTGAGACAGTGTGTGCACACAGTGGGTCCTCTATACCTGTTAGCTGCCATTGTCTGGGGGGCACACAAGTGGGTAGGCAGCCCCAAACCAGGTGCAGATGGAGAGCTGGACCAGCAGAGCTGAGGCACTGTGGAAACTGCCCTTGCTGAGGCCAACTGAAGAGTCTATTAGCTGAGTGGCCATAGTGTGTTACCCCCCTGTCTGGGCTGGGAAGGCCACCTGTATACCTGTCATCTCCCGGAGGCCAGAGCCATCACAGACACTACCTAGGAGGCATCTGGCATTCCACAGGTGGCTGAGCCCGTGAGCTATGGGGTATTTACCCACCCTGGGGTATTTACGCCCTAGGACATGCTTCCTCTGAGCTCTGGATCCTGTTTCTGCCCAGGGTGTTCATGACATTTCAAGCAGTGGCCGGGAGATTGAAAGCAACCTGTCAGCATCTGCCAGCTTGGGGGAACAGGGACCCTGCTCACACACGTCTCTCCACCACTTTCAACCTAAGAACTTTCACAGATGCCAATGAGGCCTCTATGTGGAACAAATCAAGGTGTAGCTGCCCAACGGCCCCTGCCCCACAGATGACGTGGGCAGCCACATGTGCCCGGGGCCAGGGCTGGTGCAAAGCAAGCTGGCCCTGCCCAGTGTCGAGGGCTGGGGGTGGGGCGGGGGGGCAGGGGCGGGCAGTGGTGTGAATGTGAATCTTCTCATTTTGGAAATGTGCAGAAGTACTGGGAGTGCTTGCCCATCACATGGAGAGAAATGTACTCATTAAGGAAGCAGAAGCAGAGAGATACCGAGGGGAAGTAGTGAGAGCATGACAAGTAGGGATGGTGGCTTGGCAGGAGTGGGAAGAAGTGACACAGGAGACCTTTCTGGATGTGAGGCTGAACTGGTTGCACACAGATGTGCCCAGCTGCCTGCAGATGCTGGAGATGAGCACAGCCGCTCCAGAATAGGACCTGGTGTGGTACGAGAGACCCCGGGGGTGGGGGAACCCCACATGCTCAGGGCCCCCTGGACCTCCATAATCCCTGAGGGGACAGTGAGGGTGTGAGGTGGGACTAGAATCACTGAAGATTCCCTGGGGCCCTTGCTGAGAACATCGAGGTGGGGTTTACATGCCTCAAGGGACCACCATGTCATCTAGATAAAGCTTATAAAAATATGCAGAGATGGTCTGTATGTGCAGGGGAGAGGAGGCCTGATTTTAAACTCTGAAGTTTAAAATTCTTTACATTCACTTTTCCACTGTGAGTGTAAAGCTCTCAGGTCCCCCGGATGCCCCTGCAACGGGGCTGCAGGCTGTCAGATGCCCACGTCCTGCTGCAGGAGTTGTTATATGTGACCTGGATTCCTTGTGTCCACAATCCTGTCTCCTGAGTGGAGTCACCCTGAGCAGCTGCAGCAGACCTCTGTAACTGCATTCTGCTTTAATGTAGCTGTGAAGGCACCCCAGCCATGGGGCAGCACCCCACAGGAGGCAGGCCGGTAGGGCAGGGGCTGCCTTTTTTCCAGGGGCTGAATGTCATATCCAGGGAGTCTCCATACCACATTGTCAACACCTCTCTCTCTGACTGAAGCATCTCCCATTTTTCTCATTCTTCGGTTCTTATCTTGTGACTCACTTGTCATTCCCTCCACTTAGGCTTGGAGAAAATGGAGTCTGTGAAGTTCTGATTTGCAGGGACCCTCTGACATTATCTGGTAAAGCCTCGCCCATTTTACAGCAAAGAACACTGAGGCCCGGGGAGAGGAAGACCAAGGTTGCAGGGTAAATTAGGGGTCAAGCCGTTTCCTGGCCTGCATGTCTGTTGTGTTGCCACTCCCTGCCATACTCTGTGGGGATGGACTGACAGGACCCTGTCACAATGGCTGTGGTAGCCCCAGTCCACTAGCAGCCTGGGACAGAGGCAGTGCCCAGGCCTCTAGGAGGTAGGTCTGGCAGGGAAGGCCACTTTTAAGAAGTGGAAACTGAGGCCCAGTGAGGGAACAGGACTTGTGTGAGTAGAACAGCAGAGACTAGAACCCCAGGCTCGCAGCCCAAGTTTTGAACCAGACGGAGACCACATTTATCTGTCAAGTTGGGGATAAGAGGAAGAGGCTCCAGGGAGGCAAAGCCACCAGGACCTCAGGGAGTGGTGCTAACTCTATGCCTTCCACATCGGGTGGGTGTGTTCCTGAAGTCGGGTCATGGTGGCCCCTCACCCTTCAGGATACTCCAGGACATACTTTAGAATACTCTATGTCCTGTATGTATTCAACCAATGTTGTTTCTGGCAGCACAGCCTCTGTCTCTTCATTTCCCTCTTGGTCACCTCTGGACCCCTCCCCTACACACCAACCTCTCCAAACCACCACTGCTGCACCCTTTCTCCTGAGCCGGGCCCTCCATGAGTCCATCTACGCTTGGGTGTGGGCCATGGGTAGCATGAGGCCCCTGGAAGGGACTGGGCCCCAGGAGGCAGGCCTCCTGCCTGGCCCACCTGCCTTGGCCTTGCCAGTCTTGGGCACTCTCTGGTGGAGGATGAGAATTCTAGATCTCTAGAGACCAAGGGCAGCCACCAGCTGGGTGCTTTACAGCTCCCCACATGGGCTGGCATGGATCTGGGGCCCATATTTCTCTAGAAGGTTTCCCATTCCTCCCGCTGTGGGATCCGGGTGGCCTCTTTCTTACCTTTGGGGTGAGGTACTTGGTCATAATTTCCTTCCCTTTTTCCCCCAGTTTTTCATCTGGAGTAACTTCATATTCTGCCTGAAACAGAAAAAGGAAAAGAACAATAACAGATCTGCTCGTGAGCTTCTGATAGTTACACAAGCTTCGCGGCCCCTGAAGAAGACACCATGGAGGTCACGTGACCAATCCCTCCTCCACGGAGCAGGAAGCTGAAGCTGGGACTGGGGAGAAGAGCTGGCTGAGAAGCCCTGACATCCAGCCCAGCCTACTCTACTACTCTACACCATCCATGGACACATGCTTATCAGAACAGGTGCTCTCCTCTCAGGCTCCATTCAGAATCACCAGGAGCAAACGCTGGTGCTCACGTCCCACCCCACCCCACTGAACTCCGATGGACCCTCTGGCCATGAGGGCAGGGCTCCGGGCAGCTGGGGTTGAAAACCACCAATTCAGATAAATCACAGGAAGCCACTGGAAAATAATGAGCCACCAAACTGGAAGGCCCCCGAGAGGCTGCTTCAGGTCACTCAGACCTTCCAGCTGTATGACCTTAGATGATTTCCTTAACGTCTATAAATCCCAGCTTGGAAAAGCACCTACGACAGGGCAACTGTGCAGACAGAATGTGACAAAGCTCTTGCCTAGAGCCAGGCACATAATAATACTCAACGAACAGTGCTAGAATCATCACCATTGTCATTACTATGCCTTGCAAGAGAAAAGGCTAATATGGATGCCTTACCTTTTGCAGCTTTTCAGCCTATAGAATGAACATACAGAGATTTTTCAGATGTTCCTATCTGAACCTCACAAAAGCCCAGGTAGTGATGTGGGAGGGCAGGGTCTGCTACTACACCCCTTCATCTGCTTCTGAAGAGCAGGAGGTTCAGTCCACTTGCCCAGAGTCCCGCAGGGGAGGTGGTGGGAGCTGGGGCTTCGATCGCCAAACCATCTCCAAACCGGAGCTCTTTCTCAACAACTCCAAGGAATTTAGGGCTCCAGATTGCTGGCCAAGTCAGTGGGACCTCCAAAGGCAAACCTTTTTATTTTCCTTGACCTCAAGAGGGGCTCCCTCTCTCACATGTGACGCACTTGCCAAGAGGATTAAAGGCCTCAAGTTAAGAAGCCTGGGTAAGCCTGCCTTTCTCCCTTTCTCATTTAGACAAGAGAGCTAATTGCAAATTGTTATAAATGATTTCAAAATCCACCACCCAAGGATGTGTCAACCTCCGTCCAAAAGTACAGCTATTTCAAAAGAGACAGAGGAAATGACATCAGCAGAGACAGACTGAAATCGGCACCCCAGCCTCCCGGCCCAGCGCAAGGCAACCCCACAACCCAGCATCTAGGGTCCACTTTCACCCCCAGGCCAATCCAGAAGACCCTCCCGGAAAGGGGGGCCAGGGACGGCAGCACTTGGATGCCCAGATATGCAGCCGGGCACATTTCCATCTAACATGAGTGAGTTTCCTGTGTTACCATTTCTCTTCTAACAGAGAATCAAGACTCGGTGATTTTCTCCAAGGAAGAAACATTAACACTTCAATCACTTGGATCACAGGGCTGTGGGATAATGGTTCTGGAAAGAATCCAACCCCCTCACTTTACAGAGCTAGACACTGAGGCTCAGAGAAGCAAAGGACTGGGCCCGAAGTCACACAGCTGGTCATAGCAGAGCCCAGACAGGAGCATAAGCCTGCTGGCTTCTGTCAGCCACCCGCCTCAGGACAACCCCCTCCACACCATGAAGACTAGCCCTGTGGGCCTGTTTCTTGTTGGAACTGATTTGGCTGATGATTTCCCGAGACAATTTAAGGAGAGAAGGTGGCTCTTTGTCACTGAGTTTTTCCTGTTGTTTTCTCCCCCGATGCTCCCAGCCTCCCCGCAAAACTAACACGCAGGTGGGCACACCCAACACAGGATGGAGTAGGTCATAGGCTCACCCTTGAGGTAGGTATTATTATTCCCAATCTATAGATAAAGAAACTGAGGCTCTGAGGGCACAGATAACCAGTGCAAATATAGTCGAGTGAGCATGTGAGAGGGCTGGGAGTTATGTCTCCAGAGGGGCTCAGAGTTCTAGAGCACGACTGACCACCCTTTTTCCAGGATGAAGAGAGAAGCACCCAGTGTCCTGCCACTCTGGAAACCTGCCTAGTGGTCTGGCACCATGGGAATCTACCCAGACTGCTTTGCAGGGCCCAGGCCCCGGGCAAATGGCCGACCACCTTTTGGGGTAACTCAATCCCATGCAGAACCCTGGATTTGCACTGTCCCAAAATACATCTGTGAAGGCGGCTCTATTTAACCAAATGGAGGCTTGAAGCTCATTAATCAGCCTCAATAACCAGCTGAAAATATTATTGCTCTGGGTACTAAAACCCACGTTAAAAAAATAACATCACTTTCAGGTCAGCTGCCTCCCAGCAGAGGCCCGGCTGGGCGGCTGGGCGCCACGGTTCCACAGGGAGGCAGCCGGGAGCACGCGGGGACAGGCATCCCCAGCCCAGGATCAAAAGGCCTTTCTTTGAGAGTCCATGTCAGGTCACCACCACTTGAAGAACATTTGTGTTGGGAGGCAGAAAACCAACAGAAGGCTTCCAGCTGGGCCTTCCACACTGATTAAGTCACCTGGAGTGACAGGCCATGTCTCCACAGTGACCCCCGAGAGGCCTGCTACAGAGAGAAGGCACCATGGCGGCTCAGCTGGGCGGGCGAGCTCAGGCAAATCACGCCGCCCGAGGCGGGGGACCACCCGGGAACCCACTGCTATGGGAACACCCTTGCCCAGGTAGTGGGCAAGAGCTACTGAAATCAGCCGAAACCAGAAAACCTAAGCAGCAAATAAAAGGTTGGGCCAACAGCCTAGAATTTCACAATTAGCGCTGGCTCGGGAAATGGCAGTCAGACAAAGACTTCAATGAAAAGAGAGAAAACCACATGCAAGGAATGCCCCCGTGACCTCCATCAGCAGGGGAGTGCCCTCCAACCAGGGAGGGTGCTAGGTCTCATCCCCTCCCCACAACAGAGGGGACATGTGCCATCCTCTCTCCTGTAAGGGCCATCTGAAACCTGTGAGCTCAGCCCTAACAGCCAGAGCACCAAAGGGCACCCCTGCTAATCCACTCGGAGGATGTCTCTCTTCCCCGAGTACATCCAAGGTGCCCACTTCATGAGCCTCTCCAGGTCCTGTGATTTATGCCAAGTGCAGAAATGGCCTTTGGGGAGGAGATGCTGCTATAACACAAAGAGCAAAACACTACATTGAGTTTAAGGCAAAAGGAATTATTTATAGATCCCTGCCTGCCAAAGAGTATAAACATTTGTGTACATCCTAGTTTATAAACCTAATATTTCATCCTCTTGGTCGGCTCTAATTGCATCATCAATCTCAGAAAATGCCGGTGAAAATATGTCCTCTCTATTAAAACACACTTCCCTCTGATGATTTTTAAAAACATGAAGACCACAAGCCAGTAAAAGGGGACCTGCCACGTTTTCAAAGCAGCCGGTGCTGGTTTAAAGAGCAGAGTCTGAGCCGGATTCCTCTCGGCCTCTGACTAACTTCAGATGTCACCTCCTCCTCCTGGGAGACCTTCTCCTGCCCTGACAAGAAGATGAAGTCAGAGATGCTATGAGGTCTTGCCACCTCCTGCTTCTGTAATTACCAATGTGGTCAGCTTTTCCAGAGTCCTCGCGGCAGGGACGAGTGACGCGCTTGGTTGGCAGCGCTGCTCACCACGGCCTTTTCTGGAGAAACACCCAGCTCCACCCACACCGGCCTCGGCATCTTGCCTGTGCTGCCCGTGTGGGCTGGAGGTCTCCATTTGCCTCTCTGGAGGCACTCTTGACCCTGGCGTGGGGCAGGGGAGAATCAGGGTGGGCAGTTATCTCCCCGACCTGGCACCACGGTTCCGACACCCCTCTTCTAAAGACCCAGCCCACGTGCGCTGGCCTGCATCAGCCCCTTCTCTTGTCCCTGCAGACCTAGGGGTGGCACAGGCTCCGATTTACTGCATCGGCGCTACTGATTCCCCATCCTGCTCAGGACTCCACCGACAGCCCTGCACTTGCTCGTGGGCAGGCCATCTATCTCCTGCCAGGACCCTGAGTGAACAGTCCTTCGGAAGTTGGAAGGACTGTTGACCTTGCTCCCCACCCTCTGCTCCCCAGAGAGAATGAAGAAGCACTGCAGAGGGGCGCATCCCCCAGGAGTCCCAGGATCGGATGGGTCTGGTCAGCCCCAGAGCCTGTATCTACCTGGTCAGACTATTCTCTAGTCTCTAGCTGCCATCTGAAGAGCCCTTTTAGGCATGGGTCAGGAAGGGAGTCACTGGCCCCCCTCAGGGCAACAGATGGGATGGGACCCCAGAAAGAAGAGAGGGAGAAGCTGCCCCCTCGCCATGTTGGAGTGTAGCCTGAGAGTGGCAGGAGTGACCCCAAAGGGACCCCAGGCCATACTGACAGCACCACAGACACCGGCTTGTACAACATATTCTGGTGGGGGCAAAGGCTGAAAAGAAGGAAGGGGTATCACACCTTCCTCTTGGGCGAGGTGGCAAATTCACTGGCAGCTGTCAGAGTCCCCTGACAGAGAGGCCATGCTGTCACCTCCTGCCTGCCCCATCATATACCCCTGAGAGCCTCAGCCCTGAGTGACTCTCTCCCCACCGCCACCCCGCCCCACAGACTGCCTAGCTGCTTCTCCCCCTCCCCCAGCCCCAGGATTATTTCTCCATCCTCACTCTCCAACAAGGCTCATGAGGCCACCAAGCAAAGGCCTTTGACTCTCCCTGTTACTCTTTCAGTTCTAAGTGAGAAGAATCCCAACCTAACCTAGTTCAGGCAAAACCATTATCTCTTAGCTTCTAGAATTTGAGATGGACTGACCAGCCAGACTGTGGGATGCAGGAAGTGAGATGCAGCCAGGTCCAGACTATCAGGAACCAGTAACATGAGCACTTCTGGAACCCACTCTCATCCATCCACATGTGTGTGTGTGTGCACTCACATGTGTCTCCTTCTCACTCAATGCTGACTGGCTTGCTCCAATGGCACTTGGTAATCAACAGCTC